AACGCAAGACAGAGTGAAGTGGAAGTCCATGATCGCCCACCCCAGTCGGCAAGGCACCGGATAATGATGATGTGTTTTACAGCGCTTGCAACTGCATAGCACATTAGTTTGATGAAACTTTGATAAACATTAAAGATTAACAGCATCGTAATACATGTAAGTGGTGTGATCCAGTATGGGATATTGACATAGAAACTGATGCTCGGACGGTATTGCTGTTTTAAGGCCGTCCAATCCTGAAATTTACTCTTTGTGATTTTTTAATGGAGAATGATATCGTGGTGGGGAACTCTTTATCAATTTTTCCTGGTACTTGGACTTTGGAAAACCCTTCTACTCATCGATTAAGTTTATTTTGTAAAATGAGGAAAAAATCCCTATCTTATGCAAATCAGAGACTCCATATGACATTGGATCTTCTGTTTGTCTATCCGACCAGACTATTTTGTGGACTGAATATTTAGCAAAATCATGGATGAAAATGTGATCTACAATTAATTTTTTTTATTGTAGGGTCTTGCGTTGATATATTAATGTGGTTCTGAAAACAGCAAGACAATCTAATAGGCTGTATATGTATGTGAGTGTATTTAAGGCGACCTCTCAGTGAAACGGTGCATACTATCCACCTCCTTTGCTCCTACAGCATTATATTGTTAGACAGAACTGCATTTTTGTACCCTCACTCACACAAGTCACTATATATTCTAATAACCTTTTCTATTTATGTGTGCACGTTGAAAGAAAGTCTACCAAACTAGTTTTGAATTCATTCGCAGTCGACAAACCACCCTGAGCTTCGTGTCATACGTAATAAAGGCATCTTGCGAGGTCACAGAGAATATAATGTGCATGCCTTTGAAATAAGAGCAGGAGGAATGGATAGAGAGGGCCAAAAGTTCACACTGAAGATTTGTGTAGATTATCACAAGGTAATCTTGCTCTCGAGCAAAGTTTTATCCATGACATTTTCTCTCTTTGGCAGTTTCTTTTCTGGAAATTGAGATTCCCACTCTGATTGGCTGAAATGTTGCCAGACTTAAAATCACGTAAAATCACAATGATCTTGTTTGGCCTATATATCGACACGTATTTTTAATCAAGCACTCATCTGAGTAGTTTGACACAGAAGGCAGATTGTCCTTGACCAGTGCACGCTGTTTCGTAAAACCGATGCAGGTCAGACAGATTATAAAACAGGGTTCAAGATACAGTAATCTAGATTTTTTTCCGACAATAGTGAAAGGGGACCCTCAGAAGCATGTACACAGATGTGGACAGAAATACCCTGGTCTGCTCGCTCCTTGTAGATTGTTTCGAGGTGCAGCTGGCTGAGGCTCTTCTAAAGCACTCTCTAGCTGGAGTATCGTGGTTGTCACCAAGAAATGCCCGAGAAAGATGCTCAGGATCTGATGGACAGATAGAGTTACCAACGAGGAGTTTGTAGGAGAAAAAGACAGAAAAAGGTAGTGGAGATGGACTGTTGGAAAGACATTTGGATAATGTAAAGAAGATAGCCCAGAATACGGAAAATGGAAAGTGTTTGTCGGTCCACGTTGAGTCTGGCGATGATGCAGCGTGCATGGGCTCTTCTAGAGCACTTTACAATAGATGCAAGAGCCCAGTTATTTGGATACCAACATTTTCCTGCACAATTTGATCTTCTGATCTTCCTGTTTCAGATACTAAACCACGTTTTTTAAAGTTAACTGTTTTTCTGTTTCCACTCATCGAGTACTTTTGATGATACTTCTTTTTCCACCGAAAACTGGTTCTTATACTATTTCCGCGCTGGTACAAAGCGGTTGTTCTGCAACTTTCTTTGATATCTAAAGTGGTTCAAGTTGTTCTACTTCGCAATATCACTTAGTTTGTTAGGGGACTCTTATAAATAAATACTCTTTTAAAGTCAAACTAGTTGGGATTGTGATACAATACAACAATACAACAGAACACTTTTAATGTATTTTACTACATTGCTACTTTTTTTGCATTCGAGCAAGAACGAAATTGTAGAACTACTACTAGAAGGGCAAAAGCATTATACATTCGAATTTGACTGTCATTTCGAAACAATTCTGGTACAGCATCTATGAAACAAGAATCATAATCACGCGACGGAAAGCTTTTCTCTCTGTCAACACCATAAATTAAAAAATATAGGCTGGAAACGATGAATACTGACTGACAATTGTGTTTGCCCAACGCAGTCGTCAATATTTCTATGTTTACAGGAGCATGTATCGTCGGTCTCCTGATAACATTGTGAATTCCACAAATGTTTGAACATTTTTTGTGCATATTTTGATAGTGCTCGGTGAGATATTAATACAATTATCTCAACTCAATCGTGTAATCTGACGTGATATAAAAATATATGAATATCCACACCTGTGTGGAATTCACGATCTTATCGGTCGGTTCATGACTCGCATGAGCGACTCTAAAGCACTATCAAAATATGCAAAAAACAACAACAACAACAACAACAAAAGAAAAAAACAAAAAAAAACAACCTCAACAGATTTTCGAACATTTGTGGAATTCACGATTTTATCAGGCGACCGACGAAATACCACAATCCTAGATTTTCTTTATAAAATATATGCTTTCGTGGGTGCGTCCACACTATCCCTGTCTTCCTCTCTCTCTGCATGTCAATTTTGCCTCTTTGTTTGTTTGTTTGTCTGTCTATCTATCTGTCTCTATTCCATCTCGCCCACTCATCGTTTCTGTCTGTCTGTCTGTCTGTCTGTCTGTCTGTCTGTCTGTCTGTCTGTCTGTCTCTCTGTGTGTGTCTCTCTCTCTCTCTTTCTCTCTCTTATATGCACGCGCAGGCACACTCACAATCTATATCTGACTATACGAACTATAAAAGTACGTGTCTAACAAGTAGTAACGCTGTATGTCCACCCGTGGGCCCGAAATGGGAGCATTACGGGTTTGGACAGTGAAGTATTGTGAAGTTTGTGTGAACCTTCATGGTGATAATGAGCTATAAATAAAGCTACAATAAGACTTTTTGCACATATACACTGGTTTCCAGTAACATCCGGAGTGAGACAGGGCTGCAATCTCTCCCCTCTGCTCTTCGTGATCTACTTGGACCAGATAACAAAAGAGGCCAATCCAGATCCAGTGGCACTCAACGAACTCATGTTTGCAGACGACCTGGCAATGATTAACACCAAGACTCAGCTACAGGAGCATATAAACCAACTAAATGCGAGCTGCGAAAAATATGACATGAATATCAGTATAAGCAAGACCGAAGTCATGACAATTAGCAGGAGACCAGGCAAAGTGGATATCAACATCAATGTATCCCAACTAAAACAAAGCAGAGAATTCAAATACTTTTTGGGCAGCATTTTCACAGAAAATGGAAAATTAGATCGAGAGATAGAGACTAGATGCCAGAGAGCCAACGCAGTCAGCTACCAACTGGGCCCTCTCCTGAAACATCCCAATATCCCCATGAGCACCAAGGCGAAGCTCATCAACGCCATTTTCCTTCCAACGCTCACATATCAGTGCCAGACATGGACTCTAACAAAAGCCCTAGAGAGGAAACTGGTCACATGCGAGATGAAATGCTTAAGAAGAGTGGTCAACAAAACAAGAAGAGACAAAATTTAAAATGAAGTCATAAGGGACACCGTGGGAGCAACACCAGTCCTACCACACATTGAAAAATAAAAGGTCAAGTGGTTCGGACACCTCACGCGGATGCCCTCTAACCATCCAGCTCTGAGAGCATACAACACTAAATATTCTGGATGGAGAGCCAGAGGAAGACCAAGGCGACGATGGAGTGAATCTGTTGCAGACACCCTTAAAGATCATGGGATGTCCCTCCTACAGGCCACACGACTTGCTGCAGACAGACACCTGTGTCTCCCCGCGATACCCCAGGGTACAAGCGGAAGAAAAAAGTAAAAAGTAAGTAAAGTAAAGCACATATACACAAAGCACATTTTCTCACTCCTACGCGCACTCACAGTTGCGTATGCTGTCAGAAGAGAAAGCAAGCTGGCTTTTGTTAATTATAATAAAGTATGTATTGCAGACACAATATTTACATACTAAGTAGCTTTGAAAGCTCCACGTTCATAAGGTCTCCAGCGGCTATTAAAAATTTTTGATTTGATTTGTATCTAAGGTAGAAAAGGTCAAGCACACCCAAGGATTGATAGAATTACAGTAGTGGTCCCGAGCCTATCTTCCATTTTCTCTCTCTCCATCCTTTTCTCTTCCACTTTTTCTCTTTCTCGCCCTCTACCTTCTCTAGTATCCCCCTCTCTCTCATCATTCCTCTTTCACTCTTTTGCTTTTCCTCCCTCTTCCTCTTTCTCCTGGTTTTCCAATATACCCCTACCCCTCCATTTTTCTATTCCTTAAAATTCGATATTTCCTCAGTCTCAAAAGCAATAATGGGCTCATAAAAATGTTTTGGTCTTTAACTCTCTTCCCAGGAAGGAGAAGGAGAATTTATATGGTCAAAGGAGACTCAAGGCATCATTCTCAGTTCTTTCTACTGGGGATTCGCGGTAGCTCAGCTACTTGGGGCCTGGTTCAGTCAGAGGTGAGGTACTCTTCCCCGTTTCCTTTAGTATTGTTTTGAAATTTTTCCCATAACTTTTTCAATTACATTCGATAAATATTTTTGCTGTACTGCTTTTGCCTTTTAAAAATCTACTTTCTAAATTGTTACTGAAACCGTTGGACCTGCTATTTACCTTTTAGATTATTTGTTCATAATTTGCAGTTCCGTAAACAAATACTATGCGAATTCTTATTTCAGATACGGTGGAAGGAGAGTTTGGGCCTGTTCCATGCTCGTGTGCTCACTTTTAACTCTCCTCACACCAATAGCTGCTCGGATAGATTCTTACGCAGTCGTTGCAGTGAGAGTTGTATTAGGTCTTTTTCAGGTAAAATAGTAATTTTTGTTGCATAATATATATATCATTGAAGGGAAAAGGAGGTGGGAATGATTAGCAAACATTACACTTTTTTTGGGTCTAACATTTAAATCCAGCTTTCTTAGTAGACGTTTTGATTTTCTCAGGATGTTTTGTCAAACTGATCATTTTACTTTGTTGATCTGAAGACAAACGGGGAATTTCGTAGAAACTATTATACCCCCACCCCCCTAACCCTGTAAGCAATGCTAATGACGCATTTTTGTCAAGTGATGTAGACCATGTTAATAGAAGAATACTTTTTCACACTTCCCCTCTTAAAGTCCGTTGGGTAGCTGAGGTTATAAATGTAAAGAATAACAATAATAGAACCATTGTTCCCCTTTCATTTATCACATAATAAACTTTAAGGCTCACTCTAATTCCAGATAACAAAAGGTTTCGATATAGCTTTGGCTTTACTAATTTCCGGCAAAACAGAAAATCCGTCTTGTTGTCTTTCACTTCCTGTAGCCTTTAAATAGTGCGTCTTCCCCACTAGCCTTCTCTACCAATTTTTATTTGTGAAAACTTGATCATTTGGGCTTTTGTTTAGTAATTTTCATTTACCCTCACTTTGTTTTGATAATAGTTTATTTTCTTATGATCCTACAGCTAAAATCTGGATTCAAACGTTTCAGATCAAAAAGAAATTTCTGTCGCTCTTTTTTTTGTTCCTTTGCACGTAGAAATAACAATTAGTTGAGAGGATATGATCTTGGAGCAGACTCCTCATGTTTGAGTTAGGGTGGTGAACGGAATGGTGTTTTATGAATGAACTTCTAAAGCTGCACAAAAAATAGCTTAGGATGGCAAGTATACATGTATGTTTTGCGTGGTATACTGTACACATAACGATGGTGTGTTTTCTCCAAAGAGCGTGATGTGGCCCTCCCTGTGTGTTCTTTTCACCCGTTGGGTACCTCCCCTGGAGAATGGGAGACTTACCAGTTTTGCAATAACAGGTAACTTCTTCGTAGAACTCGTGAGGGAGTTAGTACAAAGTGCCAAGTTAGTGCTCGGCACACTTTGGGCGTTCAGTAGACGGTACAATGTGGGCCATGCCGTAAAGAATGGCAAAGGAACAAGGGAGAAAATAAAAAAAATAAAAAGAAAGGAAACTTTGACCGGTACAGAGAACACAATGTTAACTTTTTGACTGGAAAAAGCAACCTTGCCTGTCGGTATTTGTTTAGGTATGAAAACGAGGAGGAGGAAGAGTTGTTAACTAATCAAATTAAAGTCCTGAACCATCCGTGATTTGCTCAGACAAGTGAGGTTCAAGTATAAGTATCTTTCAAATACATGTAATATCCTTCTAACAAAGGGAATTAATATCTACTTCTGATCTGTCAAATAGGTTCTTTGCTGGGCGCTATCATCACTTTACCAGTGGTGGCTCAACTATGTGAAGTACCGACAGGATGGTCTCTAGCCTTTTACATTACAGGTAAGGCAATTGCTCCTCTAGTGTATGGCAATAGTTCCCCACGAGTTTCCAGCTACTGAATCAACCCTTTTCCTAAGGGTTTAGATTATTACTATTAAACCTAATAGCCTGTTCTCAATCAAATCTTGTGGCTGGTGTGCATAGCCTTCAGATGAGAAAGTAGACAGATATGTATGACCTCTGAACTGGTTTATCTTTAAAAGCGTGAAAAGAAAAAGCTCAAACTTATCCGGCAATATACATTCATACATGTATATTATACTCTCTCTCTCTTTCACTCTGTCTTTCTCTCTCTCTCTCTCTCTCTCTCTCTCTCTCTCTCTCTCTCTCTCTCTCTCTCTCTCTCTCTCTGTCTCTGTCTCCCTCTCCGTCTGTCTCTGTCTGTCTGTCTGTCTGTCTGTCTGTCTGTCTGTCTGTCTGTCTGTCTGTCTGTCTGTCTCTGTCTCTGTCTCTGTCTCTCTCTCTTTGTGTCTCTCTCTCTCTCGCTCTGTCTCTATAAATAATATACACCTGTGTGTGTGTGTGTGTGTGTGTGTGTGTGTATAT